CCAAAATCATCCCTATTTCAGTAATATGTCTGCCTTTCTATTAAATGATACCAAGAAACAGTCAATAAAACCATAAAAACCATGCTATAAAAGATCTGAAAATTGCTGTTTTAAACCAATTACACAGAGTTTTGCTTTTTCTATTATGCACTGTGCGGGTGCAAGAAGTTTTTATACTGTGTACACTCACCATGCAGACCCATTCTCTTACATCTAGGCTAAAATTTGCCACTCACAGCTTACCTGAGTGAGCTGAGCTCATGATGTGCAACTACTTGAGGGACCCTGGCCTCAGTGATGTAGTTCTACATGACAGATGCTGAAAGGGTTAAATACAGTTCACGTTACTAATTTCCAGATCTATTCATGAGCAATATTTTTGTCATACACAAGAAGTAAAACAAGTTTTTAGACCTTACTCTGAAAATAATTTGAGTAATATGAGTGGCCCGGTGGCCTGGTGGCTAAAGCTCCCGCTTCACACACGGAGGGCCCGGGTTCGATTCCCGGCGGGTGGAAACATTTCGACACGTTTCCTTACACCTATTGTCCTGTTCATCTAGCAGCAAATAGGTACCTGGGTGTTAGTCGACTGGTGTGGGTTGCATCCTGGGGGACAAGATTAAGGACCCCAATGGAAATAAGTTAGACAGTCCTCGATGACGAACTGACTTTCTTGGGTTATCCTGGGTGGCTAACCCTCCGGGGTTAAAAATCCGAACGAAATCTTATCTTATCTTATCTTATCTTATCTTCAGTACTATCTGTTTTACTAGATTTGTGAAATTAAATATAGGCATTTATACATTTGTGTCTATACTGGTGTGAACAATATTTAGCGTTTTGGGACCTGACGAGCTGTTGGAGTGTGAGCAGGGTAATATTTAGTGAAGGGATTCAGGAAAACCGGTTATTTTATATAACCGGACTTGAGTCCTGGAAATGGGAAGTACAATGCCTGCACTCTAAAGGAGGGGTTTGAGATATTGGCAGTTTGGAGGGATATGTTGTGTATCTTTATACGTATATACTTCTAAACTGTTGTATTCTGAGCATGTCTGCAAAAACAGTGATTATGTGTGAGTGAGGTGAAAATGTTGAATGATGATGAAAGTATTTTCTTTTTGGGGATTTTCTTTCTTTTTGGGTCACCCTGCCTCGGTGGGAGATGGCCGACTTGTTAAAAAAAAAAAAAATATACCTCAATGCACCACTCACCTCTTTTCCTTCATCAGTTCTATGGTTAAGCTAATCTTTCATAAACCCATCCGCTGACAAGTCAACTCCCAAATCTCTGAAAATGTTCACTTCTTCTATACTCCGTCTCTGCAATGTGATATCGGATTTTTCTTTATCTAAATTGTTCCTTACCCTCATCACCGTACTCTTATCTATGTTCACTTCCAACTTTCTACCTTTACACCCCCTCCCAAACTCATCCACTAACCTTTGCAACTTTTCTTTAGAATCTCCTATAAGCACAGTATCATCAGCAAAAAGTAACTGTGTCAACTCCCATTTTGAATTTGATTCCCCATAATTTAAACCCACCTCTCTCCCCAACACCCTGGCATTTACCTCCTTCACAACCCCATCTATAAATGTATTAAACAACCATGGTGACATTATACATCCCTAGCTAAGACCTACTTTTACCGGGAAGTACTCTCCCTCTGTTCTTCACACCTTAACCTGAGGCTTATTATCCTCATAATAACTCTTTACAACATTTATTAACTTACTACCTATTCTATATATTTGCAGCATCTGCCATATTGCTCCTCTATCCACTCTGTCATATGCCTTTTCTAAATCCATAAATGAAATGAAAACTTCCCTACCTTTATCTACATACTGTTTACATATATACTTCAATGTAAACACTTAGTCTACACATCACCTACCCATTCTTTAATCCTCCTTGCTCATCCGCAATCCTACTCTCTGTCTTACCTCTAATTCTTTCAATAATAACCCTACCGTACACTTTTCCTGGTATACTCAGTAAACTTATTCCCCTATAATTTTTACAATCTCTTTTGTACCCCTTCCCTTTATATAAAGGAACTATTCATGCTCTCTGCCAATCGCTAGGTACGTTCCCTTCTCTCATACATTTATTAAACAAAAATCCGAACCACTCCAACACTATAGTATCCCCCTGCTCTTAACATTTTTGTCATGATCCCATCAGTTCCAGCTGCTTTACCCCATCTAATTCCATGTAATACCTCACTCATCTCCCCCACACTCACATCCTGTTCTTCTTCACTCCTTAAAGATGTTATACCTCCCTGGCCAGTGCATGAAATTACCACCTCTTTCTCATCGACATTTAAAAGTTCCTCAAAATATTCCCGCCAACTGCCCAATACCTACAGCTTCCCATCTACTAACTCCCCTACACTGTTTTAAACTGACAAATCCATTCATTCCCTAGGCTTTCTTAACTTGTTTCTCACTCCAAAGCTTTTTCTTATTTTCATCAAAATTTCTTGACAGTGCCTCTACCACTCTGTCATCTGCTCTCCTTTTGTGCACTCTCACCACTCTCTTCACCTTTCTTTTACTCTCCATATACTCTGCTCTTCTTATAACACTTCTGCTTTGTTAAAACCTCTCATAAGCTACCTTTTTCTCTTTTGTCACACCCTGTACTTCATTATTCCTCCAATCACTCCTCTTTTCTCCTGCACCCACTTTCCTATAGCCACAAACATCTGCCCCACATTCTAATAATGCATTTTTAAAACTATTCCAGCCCTAATCAACCCCATCCCTCTCTACTCATACTTGCACTATCCCACCTTTCTGCCCATAGTTGTTTATATCTCACCCTAACTTCCTCATCCCTTAGTTTATACACTTTCACCTCTCTCTTACTTGCTGTTGCCATTTTCCTTTGCCATTTCCCTTTCCTACCTCTTACTCTAACTGTTGCTACAACTAAATAATGATCTGATATATCAGTTGCCTCTCTATAAACATGTACATCCTGAAGACTACTCATCAACCTTTTATCCACCAATGCATAGTGCTATATCATATCTTGTATACTTATTTATCCTCTTTTTCATAAAATATGTATTACTTATTACCAAACCTCTTTCTACACATAGGTCAATTAAAGGCTCCCCATTTTCATTTACCCCTGGCACCCCAAATTTTCCTACTACTCCCTCCACAACATTTTTACCCTCTTTAGCATTGAGATGCCCAACCATAAGTACTCTCTCACTTGGTTCAAAACTCCCCTCACACTCAACATTTCCCAAAATCTCTCTCTCTCTACACTTCTCTCTTCTCCAGGTGCATAAATGCTTACTGTAACCCACTCTTCACATCCAACCCTTATTTTACTCCACATAATCCTTGAGTTTATACATTTATATTCCCTCTTTTCCTGCCATAACTTATCCTTCAACATTATTGCTACTCATTCTTTAGCTCTAACTCTATTTGAAACTGCAGACCTAATCCCATATATTTCTCCCCACTGAAACTCTCCTATCCCCTTCAGCTTTGCTTCACTTAAAGCCAGGACATCCAGCTTCTTTTCGTTCATAACATCCACAATCATCTCTTACGCATCATTCGCACAGCATCCATGCACATTCAAACATCTCACTTTGACGGTTTTCTTCTTTTTCTTTTTAGTAAGGTATATGGGAAAAGGGGTTACTAGCCCATTGTTCCTGGCATTTTAGTTGACTTTTACAACACAGATGGCTTACGTAGGAAAGATTCTTATTCCACTTTCCCACCAGTATGAAAGGAAAAGCAATAAGAATAAGAACTATTAAGATGAAATCAAAGAAAACTCTGATGAGTGTGTACTTAAACATGTACGTGCTTGTGTAGTGTGACTTAAGTGTAAGAAGAAGTAGCAAGATGTACTTGAAGTCTTGGATGTTTTTTTTTTTTTTTTTTTTTTTTTAACAAACCGGCCGTATCCCACCAAGGCAAGGTGGCCCAAAAAGAAAAACGAAAGTTTCTGTTTTTAAATTTAGTAATTTATATAGGAGAAGGGGTTACTAGCCCCTTGCTCCCGGCATTTTAGTCGCCTCTTACAACACGCATGGCTTACAGCGGAAGAATTCTGTTCCACTTCCCCATGGAGACAAGAGAAAATAAACAAGAACAAGAAATAGGAAGAAAATAGAAGAAAACCCAGAGGGGTGTATATATATATATGCTTGTACATGTATGTGTAGTGTGACCTAAGTGTAAGTAGAAGTAGCAAGACGTACCTGAAATCTTGCATGTTTAAGAGACAGGAAAAAAGACACCAGCAATCCTACCATCATGTAAAACAATTACAGGCTTTCGTTTTACACTCACTTGGCATGACGGTAGTACCCCCCTGGGCGGTTGCTGTCTACCAACCTACTGCTAATCTTCTTCTTTCAACAAACTGGCCGTATCCCACCGAGGCGGGGTGGCCCAAAAGGAAAAATGAAAGTTTCTCCTTCTACATTCAGTAATATATACAGGAGAAGGGGTTACTAGCCCCTTGCTCCTGGCATTTTAGTCGCCTCTTACGACACGCATAGATTACGGAGGAAGAATTCTGTTCCACTTCCCCGTGGAGATAAGAGGAAATTAACAAGAAAAAGAGCTAGAAAGAAAATAGAAGAAAACCCAGAGGGGTATGTATGTATGTATATATGCTTGTACATGTATGTGTAGTGTGACCTAAGTGTAAGTAAAAGTAGCAAGACGTACCTGAAAGCTTGCATGTTCATGAGACAGAAAAATGGACACCAGCAATCCTACCATCATGCAAAACAATTACAGGCTTTCGTTTTACACTCAGTTGGCAGGATGGTAATACCTACCTGGGTGGTTGCTGTCTACCAACCTAGTACCTAGAACCTACTGCTAACATATTCATTATATGCTGTATTAATTACAGATGTACATACATGTATTTATAATACTGGATATTATTAGTTCTTTTCTATCATACTGTATTACTAATGTGTTTCCTTGTGTTTCAGGTAATTGTAAGTGAACTTAACACCCAGTTTATTGAACATATAATATTCATAATGAAAAATGTGTTAGAGAACAAGACAGATCATCCTTCTGAGCATCTGGGTGTTACATCTATTGAACCTATGATGTTGGCAATAGTGAGGTAAATATATTGTCTCAATGTGTTGGTCTTGTTAGTATCTATTACATTATGTCACTGTGTCTTTCTGTACCCATGACCTTGTACCTGTCAGTATCCATTACATCCTGCCATGTGTTTGTTTATCCATTTCCTCACTTCGTGTTTTGGCTAGGTGAGTGGTTCATCCAGTCTCCTCCAAGCATTCAAAGCTGCTAAATTTCATTTATATTAATTGGTGGACATCTCTTGCCTCACATATATAATGTACTTAAAGCTGAATGAAAATTTATTTTGTTTCTGATATATTGTAATGTGTTATTTCATCTGCTGCTGGCTTAAAAGAAACTGACGAAATGCTAATAAAAGGATTGATAGATTGCAGTCCAATAAAGAAATACATTATTTCTAATTTCATTGGGTTTATATATGGCCTGGGTCATGGCCAGGCTCCGAGAGTAGTAAGACTCAAAACTCATCAAAGGTATAATTGAAAGCTAATATTAAAATTAAAGAAATAATGTTAGAGAAATATTTTAGTGTGTGTGAGCACTTTTCTCCGGTGTGGCCCTGGGAAGCCCACCTAGAATGTGACAAATATCAGAGTGAATGAAGTGTAGGTTATTCCAGGTGGGCTCCCCAGTGTTCATGAAACAGAAATGCATGTTTTATTTGTGTTGAAATGCAGTTTCATTGGAATTAATAGTGATTCTGAATGTTATGTGATGTTATAAGCAGAGAAGAGATAAGTAAAAACTGCTAATGGTCATTCCAGTGTGGCTTTCAAAATTTTCTTTGTTTCTGCTGTGTTATTGAGTGTATCTTATAATTAGAGCTCTCAATGTGTTCTTTTGTTTCGGAGGTAATTAGAATAATAATAATTTTCTTTGTTAGGTATGTTCGACACTTGGACATTACAGTCCATACATTACACATTAAGACCAAACTTTGTCAGCTAGTAGAAGTAATGATGCAAAGGAGAGACGACCTTGCGTTTCGCCAAGAGATGAAATTTCGCAATAAGATGGTTGACTACCTCACTGACTGGGTTATGGGTAATTCTCACCAAATTGCTCCACCAGGGACTATTGATGTAACTTCAGTTTCCAAGTAAGTTACTTAAAAATGATTGTGAGTTTTTTATATAGCCTGAATTTGCACCATAATAGTATAGTTTAATTGAGTCTTTTATTCAATGGCCATTTCCCACAAAATCTTATTAACCCTTTGACTGTCGTAAGCCCCTTTCTGAAACTGTTATTCTGTGTTGCAGAATTTAAAAAAAAAAAAATTATTTTTTCTTATTAAATGATAGAGAATCTTCTTCCGATGGTAATGACACCAAAAGTATGAAATTTGGTCGAAAACTCACAGAATTACGCTCCCGCGAATTTAGTGGTTTTGGCGACATAAACTCATCGGTGATTTTGCCGAATTTGAGCCCTGTTTTTGACCAGTTCTGTTGTTCCAGTTGAATAAACTCATGGCTATTTCTTTAGAACTCCATTTTTTCTATCAGTTGAGTACAAGAAACCACCCATTTACCGATTTGAACTACCCAATAAAGTGGTCAGAAATTGGCAATTTGGCCAATTTTATGCAAAATAAAAAAGATGCCAATTTCAGAATAGGGTCCAGAATAAACTATGTAGACATTCTTGGCACTAAAATAACATATCCTCTCTTCATTAGTCACTTCTCTAGGCCCCTCTCATGTTGCTATTACTTTCTATTTTGATTTTTTATTCATACAAAATTTACTGTTATGCAGACTACTGCATTATTGTAAAAATTGTATAAATAATATCAGTGCACTAGTGAAAGAATATTAGACTCCCCACTTAATGTGTATTGGACGTGTGGTATGAGTTGCTTACTCTTGAACATTGGTAAAAATTGAACATTTCCACTACTTTGAGCTCAATTTCAAGGTCATTTTCATCGAGAAAGTAATCAAAATCATCTCTATTTCTGCAATATGTTTTCCATTTTATCATGTGAGACCATGAAAACGAGAATACAACGATAAATACTGTACGAAAGTACACCTCAAAGTCAGCGTTTTAATAAAAAAAAAAAGTTCAGTTTTTTTCTCATGCACTGCATGCTGCAGGATTTTTTTTATGTGGTGCACACTGACCACACAGACCCATTCTCTCACATGTGGGCCTATCAGCTTTCTCCTACTTGATTTGAAGCTGCTAGAATTTAGGCGTTTAACCCATAAACGGTCCAAATGTATATATACGTTTTTACCACTAGTGCCCCAAACGTATATATACGTTTTATGTGTCCTATATTTAACATTGCCATGATAAGCCTGAGTTGCCTAGACATGTGAGAATGGGTGTGAGCACTCACTGTACACCATATTAAAATAATTCTGGATGCCTGGGTACCATATGCTCTTTTTTCCTATTAAAAAACAACTTTTTTTTTTCTCAGAAAAGTTGGGGCAGTACAGTAGTGAACGTATATATACGTTTGGACCGTTTACAGGTTAAATACGTCCGAAACAGTGGCGCGTAAGATGTATATATACGATCAAAACAGTCAAAGGGTTAATGAGAATATCTCTGTTGCTCTGAAGGAATGCATAAGGTTTATAGAATTTGTTAAACTTTCAGGATCTTATTCAAACTGCATGTTTGTTTTTCTAAGCATTTATTCTAGTGATACTAATGGGATAGCCCTTATCCTTTGGCTTAGATGTTGACAGCATATGTGTGTGTTTAGGAAGTCAAAAGTGAACATAGATAAGAGTAAGGTGACGAAAGTATCAAATGAGTTAGCTAATGAAAAATTTGATATCAGATTGGAAGGAGAATGGAGGAAGTGAATGTGTTCAGGCATTTAGGAGTGGATGTGTCAGTGGATGGGTATATGAAAGAGGAGGTAAACCATATAAATGATGAAGGGAAAAAAGGGAGTTGCTGCATTGAGGTATCTGTGGAGTCGAAGAATGTTAACCAAGGAGGTAAAGAGGGAAATGTATGAGTGCATAGTAGTACCAACACACTTATGTCAGTGTGAAGCAAGGGCTGTGAATGTTGCAGCGAAGAGGAGGTTGGAGGAAGTGGAAATGTCATGTCTGAGGGCAATGTGGGGTGTAAATATTTTCAGGGAATTTGTGGTTTGGAAATTAGGAGGTGTGGTGTTACTAAAAGTATTTCAGAAGGCTGAGGAGGGGTTGTTGAGGTGGTTTGGTCATTCATAGAGGATGAAGCTAAATAGAATGTCTTGGAAAGTTTATAAATCTGTTGTGGATGGAAGGCAGGGTAGGGGTTCTCCTAGGAAAGGATGGAGGGAGGAGGTAAAGCACGACTTGGACATAAAGCAAGCACATGTGAATGTGTTAGATAAGACTGAGTGGGAGACAAATGGTTTTTGGGAACTGATGAGCTGTTGGAGTGTGAGCAAGGTAACATTTTATGAAGGGATTCAGGGAAACTGGTTAGCCAGACTTGAATTGTGGAGGCAGGTAGCACAGTGCCTGCACTCTGAAGGAGGTGTTTGGGATATTTGCTGTTTGGAGGAACATCTGAACTATCGTATTTGTGTGACAATCGCAAGAGAGCGATAGTGTGAATGATGGTGAAAGTGTTTCTTTTTTTATTCATGCTACCTTGGTGGGAGTCTGCCAGCATGTTAGAAATATGCTCACGCACGCATGCACGTACACACACGACACACCCACACACACCCACACACCCACACACACCCACACACACCCACTCACACCCACACACACCCACACAGTAGGGACAGCGAGCGCGCTAGTCATGCCTTCCATGCTCCAGGAATATAAGTGTTTTTGAGGGCTACCCAAGTGTTCTGCAAGGGTTGCTAAGTGTGTCAGGGTAGTGAACAATCCTAGAAGTGATTTTTAATCTGCCTGAGCCACATAAGTGTGGGGAGAGCCACAATTTTGTAAGTGATCTAGAAAATAAAAACGTTGTGGCGCAGAGTGGGCAGGCTAGTGTGTAAGGCGACGTTGTCAAGTGTCACCCAAGAAAGATAATAAAGTGAAACAATCGTGTGACCAGTGAGAGAAATACAGTGAATAGGGTACATTATTAACGAGAAGAAATTGAGGTGGATCTACGCCAGGACGTACATCGAGCTGGATCTACGCCAGGACGTCACATCGAGCTGGACAATCTACAGTGCTACAGCTGCACTACAAGTACTGTATCACCTATGAGTGGTTGTTTGGGTGTGGGGTTCCAGGTTCCAATTAACCACCAAGCTGAATGTGAATGGTCTAACTCCCATAGCATGATAAAGAATAGGCACTCAAGTATTCAATAAGGTAATCCATTGAACAAGGCAATTAACTTATTATAAGCAGGTCGAGCATAGGCAACATTGTAAGTAGGTGAGCGTAAGTCTCAGGAGGGTGGGAGTCAGGTCACAAGAGGTTGTGGACACAAGTGACAACTGAGAATCTACATTACACTCCAAGCACAAGCCACCTACTTTTCAGACACATAATAAACCCACACATTATTCGACACATAATTACACACACACACACACACACACACACACACACACACACACACACAACACACACACACACACAACACACACACACACACACACACACACACACACACACACACACACAACACACACTCACACGACACACCGACACACACACACATACACATACACACACACGACACACACATACACACACACACACACACACACACACACACGAGACACACACATGACACACACACACACGACACACACACATGAACACACACACACACACACACACACACACACACACACACACACACACACACACACACACACACACACACACACACACACACACACACACACACACACACACACACACACACACACACGCACACACACACAGCTAATGTCCCCATATTTAAGAAAGGAAACAGAAACGAGGCGCTAAACTACAGACCTGTGTCTCTGACATGTATTGTGTGCAAAGTCATGGAGAAGATTATCAGGAGGAGAGTGGTCGAACACCTGGAAAGGAACAAGATTATAAATGAAAACCAGCATGGGTTCATGGAAGGCAAATTGTGTATCACAGACCTCCTGGAGTTTTATGACAAGGTAACAGAAGTAAGACACGAGAGAGAGGGGTGGGTAGATTGCGTTATCCTAGACTGCAGGAAGGCCTTTGACACAGTTCCCCACAAGAGATTAGTGCAGAAGCTGGAGGATCAGGAGCATGTAACAGGGAGGGCACTGCAATGGATCAGGGAATACCTGACAGGGAGGCAGCAACGAGTCATGGTACGTGAAGAGGTATCACAGTGGGCGCCTGTGACGAGCGAGGTCCCACAGGGGTCAGTTCTAGGACCAGTGCTATTTTTGATATATGTGAATGACATGACGGAAGGAATAGACTCCGAAGTGTCCCTGTTCGCAGATGATGTGAAGTTGATGAGAAGAATTAAATCGGATGAGGATGAGACAGGACTGCAAAGAGACCTGGACAGGCTGGACATGTGGTCCAGTAACTTGCTTCTCGAATTCAATCCAGCCAAATGCAAAGTCATGAAGATTGGGGAGGGGCAAAGATGACTGCAGACAGAGTATAGGCTAGGTGGACAAAGACTGCAGACCTCACCCAGGGAGAAAGACCTTTGGGTGACCATAACACCGAGCACATCACCGGAGGCACACATCAACCAAATAACTGCTGCAGCACACGGGCGCCTGGCAAACCTGAGAATAGCGTTCCGATACCTTAATAAGGAATCGTTCAAGACACTGTACACTGTGTATGTTAGGCCCATACTGGAGTATGCGGCACCAGTCTGGAACCCGCACCTGGTCAAGCACGTCAAGAAGTTAGAGAAAGTACAAAGGTTTGCAACAAGGCTAGTCCCAGAGCTCAGGGGAATGTCGTACGAGGAAAGGTTGAGGAAAATCGGACTGACGACACTGGAGGACAGAAGGGTCAGGGGAGACATGATAACGACATACAAGATACTGCGGGGAATAGACAAGGTGGACAGAGATAGGATGTTCCAGAGAGGGGACACAGGGACAAGGGGTCACAACTGGAAGCTGAAGACTCAGACGAGTCACAGGGACGTTAGGAAGTATTTCTTCAGTCATAGAGTTGTCAGGAAGTGGAATAGCCTAGCAAGTGAAGTAGTGGAGGCAGGAACCATACATAGTTTTAAGAAGAGGTATGATGTAGCTCAGGAAGCAGAGAGAGAGAGGACCTAGTAGCGATCAGTGAAGAGGTGGGGCCAGGAGCTGAGTCTTGACCCCTGCAACCACAATTAGGCGAGTACAATTAGGTGAGTACACACACACACACGCACACACACATGCACACACACGCACACACACACACACACACGCACACACACGCACACACACGCACACACACACGCACGCACACACACTCCTCTGCAGGGACTCGGAGGAGAGGTTCATACCAAAGGGCAACAGAAAAAATGGTAAGACCCGAGTGAGCCCATGGTTTAAGTGGAGGTGTAAAGAGGCCAAAGCCAAGTGTGCTGGAGCATGGAAAAGGTAAAGAAGGCAAAGGACTCGAGAGAACAAGGAATTGAGCAGAAGAACTAGAAATGAATATGCAGGGATAAGGAGAGAGGCCCAGAGGCAATACGAGAATGACACAGCATCAAAAGCCAAATCTGAACCAAAGTTGTTATACAGTCACATTAGGAGAAGAACAACAGTCAAGGACCAGGTAATCAGACTGAGGAAAGGAGGAGGGAAGCTGACGAAGAGTGACCAAGAAGTATGTGATGAACTAAACACAAGATTTAGAGAAGTATTCACAATCGAGTCAGGAATGCTTCCTGCAAACTGTGAAGGTTAAGTGCACCAGAAGGTGCTGAACACAATACACATAACCAAGGTAGAGGTGAAGAAACTGCTAGACGAACTAGACACCTCAAAGGCGGTGGGCTCAGATAACATATCTCCATGGATACTGAGAAAGGGAGGAGAGGAACTGTGTGTGCCGCTAGTGGCAATCTTCAGTAAATCTATCGAAACTGGGCATTTGCCTGAGGCCTGGAAGACAGCACATGTAGTTCCAATTTTTAAGAAAGGAGACAGACAGGCAGCATTAACCCTTAAACTGTCCAAACGTAGATTTACGTTGATGTGCAGCAGGCTCCGAACGTAGATCTATTTTTTTTTTTACATGCTTTCAAATAGGGAAAAATCAAGGTTGGAGTGCTACGCATGTGAACGTAGATCTATGTTTGGATGGTTTAAGGGTTAAACTACAGACCAGTGTCACTGACTTGTATAGTATGTAAAGTCATGGGAAAGTTTATCAGGAGAAGAGTGGTGGAACACATTGAAAAGATTGGGCTCATATATGACAATCAGCATGGCTTCAGAGATGGGAAATCCTGTGTCACAAATCTACTTGAGTTCTACGATAAGGTAACAGAAGTAAGACAGGAGAGAGAGGGATGGGTAAATTACATGTTTTTAGACTGCAAGAAGGCTTTTGACACAGTACCACACAAGAGACTGGTGCAGAAATTAGAGGAGCAGGCAGGAATAACAGGGAAAGTACTGCAATGGATCAGGGAATACCTGACAGGAAGGAAACAACGAGTGTTGGTACGTGCTGAAGTGTCGGAGTGGGTGCATGTGTCGAGTGGGGTTTCACAAGGTTCATTCCGAGGCCCGGTGCTGTTTCTTGTATACGTGAATGACATGGTGGAAGGAATAGATTCAGAAGTGTCACTGTTCGCTGATGATGTGAAACTGATGAGGAGAATACAAGTGGGCAAGGATCAGTTAAGATTACAAGGGGATCTGGGCAGACTACAAGTATAGTCCGACAAATGGCTCCTAGAGTTTAACCCCAGTAAGTGTAAAGTCATGAAGATTGGGGAAGGACACAGAAGACCGCAGAAGGAGTACAGGTTAGGAAACCAACAGCTGCAAACATCAGCTAAAGAAAAGGATCTTGGGGTACGCATTATAACAAACATGTCCCCTGAGGCACACATCAATCAAATAACTGCTGCAGCATATGGGAGATTGGCAAACCTGAGATTGGCATTTAGACATCTGAGTAAGGAGTCATTCACAACATTGTACACAGTGTACGTAAGGCCTATACTGGAATATGCAGCGCCAGTATGGAACCCTCACTTAGTCAAACTTGTCATGAAATTGGAGAAAGTGCAAAAATTTGCAACACGATTAGTCCCGGAACTGAGGGGTATGTCTTACGAGGAGAGGTTAAGGGAACTCACCCTGATGACACTAGAGGATAGGAGGGATAGAAGGGACATGATAACAATGTATAAAATACTAAGAGGCATTGACAAGGTGGACAAGGATCGAATGTTTCAGAGATGGGATACAGAAACAAGGGGACACAATTGGAAGCTGAAAACCCAGATGAGTCATAGGGATGTTAGGAAGTATTTCTTTAGTCTTAGAGTTGTCAGGAACTGGAATAATCTGGAGAGTGAAGTAGTGGAAGCAAGTTCCATAAATAGTTTTAAGAAGAGGTATGACAAATATCATGGAGCAGGGAGAGAGTGAATTAGTATCGACCAGTCAAGAGGCGGGGCCAGGAGCTATGACTCGACCCCTGCAACCACATATAGGTGAGCGTGCGCGCACACACACACACACACACACACACACACACACACACACACACACACACACACACACACACACACACACACACACACACACACGCATTCATGCTCGAGCTCACTCACTCTTGCTCCCTCGCTCTCGCACGCTTATTCGGTCTGTCTCTCTCGTCTTTCACACGCTCTCTCTTGTTATTTTTTATTAACACATCGGCTGTATCCCACTGAGGCAGGGTGACCTAAAAAAGAAAAAAATACTTTCATCATCATTCACTCTATGACTTTCCTCCCAGAGGTGTGCTGACACTACAGATAAAAAACTGCAATTCATCTCCACCCCTCCTTCAGAGAGCAGGCACTGTACTTCCCATCTCCAGGGCTCAAGTGTAGTTAACTAGTTTCCCAGAAACCCTTTTTGTATGTTACTTTAGTCACACTTCAAAAGTATGTGAAGTCATATATAACATTTGCCTCCACTCTCTCCTGTCTAACACGCTCATGCATTTTGGTAAGAATATTTTGTCGTCAGAAAGAGTGACTATTTGCTTTGTGAGATGTAACTTGATGGTGGAGGGTTTAAAGTGCTGTAATATTTAATAATTTCCAGAACTGTTAACAATACAGCAGGGCACCACTTGTACAGCAGGTTAGGTTCCAGGCTACCACCATGAAGTAAATCACTTGTTTACTTATAAGTGCATATAATTACATGCTTCGTAACACGTTTCTACTGTCATATATTGGGTTAACATTAGAACTAGACATTAAAAACCAATAAAAAAGCAAAATACACATACAGTACACTCATTACTACTTTAAAATATTTGTAGTCTTAATGTAGGGTTAGAAGTGAGTATTTATTGCAGAAAGTTAGGTGTGGTAGCTTACCTGGCTACCACACTTTCACAAAATATTATTTTTACCATCGACATTCCTTGTTCACTGAGTTTAATCATTTCTAACAACTACCTTTAGATGCCATTGTAAACAAGAGAGTTGTGGAGAATGTAAACAAACAGACAAATGTGTATTAATTCCGGTTTATACATGTTCATTTTGCATACATTTTTTGAAGCTTTTGCCCTCCAATCAAACCCTTTACATTGTGTACAAGTTGTCTTCATGTTGGTGCAGTAGAATAAATAGCAGCAACACTCCCATTTTCATGCACCACACCATTTTGAGAGGGATTGACACTGTGAGTGAAGGCATACGAAAGGAATATTTTTCAACAGTTACCCCAGTAATTCTATAATGTACACAGCTTCTCTGGTGTTGGACTAGAGAAAATGGAATTCTTTCTGTTACTCCTACAAGTTGCCTTGCTACCATATATCATTTTTATGTCAATTTGTTCTACTGTGGTTGTACATATTATGTTTGTATGATATGTAGCGTGTTTTTTATATAATTTTGAAAAAGTATTATACATGGGTTGATGAAAATGTCTATATTAATGTAATATACAAAATGTAAAGCACCCGAGAGGGATTATTATTATTATTATTATTATTATTATTATTATTATTATTATTATTATTTTTTTTTTTTTAACAAGTCGGCCATCTCCCACAGAGGCAGGGTGACCCTAAAAGAAAATACTTTTATCATCATTCAACTCTTTCACCTCACTCACACATAATCACTGTTTTTGCAGAGGTGCTCAGAACACAACAGCTTAGAAGCATATACGTATAAAGGTACACAACATATCCCTCCAAACTGTCAATATCCCGAACCCCTCCTTTAGAGTACAGGTATTGTACTTCCCATTTCCAGGACTCAAGTCCGGCTATATAAAAATAACCGGTTTCCCTGAATCCCTTCACTAAATATTACCCTGCTCACACTCCAACATTATTATTATTATTATGATGCTTATAGCATCTTTAACACTAGTGAGACACACTTAGTGATTTTAATGTATACCTACATGCCAGCACAGTGTGTAAGTTTATTTAAGTACAGGTACACACAATTATCAGAGTATTGTGATATTGTGTGAATGATGGTGAAAGTGTTCCTTTCTTTTTTGGGTCACCCTGCCTTGGTGGGAGATGGCCATTTTGTTGAAAAAAAAAAGCATAATATGCACAGTAACTGTAAAACACTTGAAATTTAGAAAAGTTTCCAGACATAATCAGAAGACATGAAGCTCATTGAGGATGTAAACAGAGTGGCTCACGGACATTGCAATATTGAATTAAGGAGCCGTATAAATGAATTTGTGGTCATAACTTGAAATGTCCATATTAACAAATCGCTGTAAAGTGAAGTGTCGTGAAGTGGGGGGCCATCCTGTATATAAAAGACCTAAAACTGGCATGAATATAATCATAAAATATATTTTATCTCTTCCAGCTTGTATATGCAATATGATATAACAGGATGCTGTAGAGATCTAGATCAAGCATGTATGGAAGCAGTGGCTGCCTTGCTTCGTGGCCTCCCACTCCAGCCAGAGGAGAGCGACCGTGGTGACCTTATGGAAGCAAAATCTCAACTGTTTTTGAAATATTTTACTCTTTTCATGAACCTCCTCAATGACTGCATGGAGGCTCAAGAGGTAAGTACTCTCTACTGATACTGAACCAGGAAGCTCTAGTGACTGGACATGACCAATGGTTTCCTGTAAGTTATGCTTTTCAGTTACTCAGATCAGGTTTATTGAGACCATGATGGCAATTTTTGCAAATGCTTTGGTCAGGTATAGTTGCTACTGTTCTCTCTTTGACGTCAGTTTACTTTGATCATGCAGTACGTATATAGTTTCTTTCTTTCTTTCTTCTTTCAACACACCGGCCGTATCCCACCGAGGCGGGGTGGCCCAAAAGGAAAAATGAAAGTTTCTCCTTTTACATTTAGTAATATATACAGGAGAAGAGGTTACTAGCCCCTTGCTCCTGGCATTTTAGTCGCCTCTTACAACACGCATGGCTTACGGTGGAAGAAATCTGTTCCATTTCCCCATGGAGATATGAGGAAATAAACAAGAATAAGAACTAGAAAGAAAATAGAAGAAAACTCAGAGGGGTGTGTATATATATATGCTTGTACATGTATGTGTAGTGTGACCTAAGTGTAAGTAGAAGTAGCAAGACATACCTGAAATCTTGCATGTTCATGTGACAGAAAAAAGGACACCAGCAATCCTACCATCATGTAAAACAATTACAGGCTATCGTTTTACACTCACTTGGCAGGACGGTAGTACCTCCCTGGGCGGTTGCTGTCTACCAACCTACTACCTAGGGTATAAAGTTTCATGGTTATTATATACAGTATATTTCACCAGTTTGCAGTGCCTGCAGGAAATAGCATTTTTTGCACTTGTCCAATATTTCACTTCCTAAATCCATTTTCTCCTATATTCTTTACATTTAAAGATATTGCAGATTTTTAGGAAGCACCCTCTCGTATTAACCCTTTGAGTGTTGAGACCCCTTGCTCGCAAACTTGCTCATAGTGTCAGAGAATTTTCAAAGAAAAAAAATTATTTTTTCCTATGAAATGATAGAGAATCTTTTTCTAAGGTAATGAAACCAAAAGTTCGAAATTTGATGGAAGACAAAAAAGGGAATTACATTCTCAGGAAGTTAGTGGCCTCGGCGATATTTACGCATCAGCGTTTTTATCCACTTTGATACCTATTTTGGGCCAATTCCTTTGTTCCACTCAAACAAACTCATAGCTATTTCACTAGAGCTCTTTTTATTCTATCAGCTAAGTACAAGAACCTGTCCATTTACCTATTTCAGCTACTCAAAAAAGTGATCAGAATTTACTAATTTGGCTAATTTCACACAAAATTCAAGAAAGACCAGTTTCAAAACAGGGGCCAGAATAAACAGTGCGAACATTCCTGGTACTAAAATAACATTTTCTCTCTTCATTAGTCACATGTCCAGGTCCCTCATATTACACTTGCTTTTCATTTTGAATTTTTATTCACACACAAAAATAGATGATTTACTGTTACTCATAGTATTGCACAATTGTAATAATTGTATAAATAATATCAACTCATTTGTGACTGGATATTAGACCCACCAGTTGATATGTATTGGACATGTGACTGTGATATGTTTACTCTTGAACATCATCAAAAATCAAACATTTCCACTACTTTGACATCAATTTCAAGCTACTTATGTTTGGTAAACCATTCAGAATCGCCTCTATTTCTGTGCTATACCTTCCATTTGATCAAATGAGACCAAGAAAATGAGAATACAATCATAAATACCATTCAAAAATACACTGCAAATTTGCTGTTTTAAACCAAAAACAGGTGCAGTTATTTTTTTTTTTTTTTGTCATGCACTGCTTGCTGCAGTATTTTTTTTATACTGGGCACACTGACCAAACAGATCCATTCCCTCATATATAGACTTACCAGCTTTCTCCCAAAAGTTATGAAACTTCCAGAATTTTGGCGTAGTATTATGGAACTGACAATGGGTTTAAAGCTGTAATATTATGGGACCGACACCGAAGGGGTTAATTGAAAGCTTATTGCATCTAAGTGTATTCTCATTAACCCTTTTGGGTGAACAATAAACTAGCCACTTCAACAGCATAACCTTATTAATGTAGTGACAGTTTAATTAAAAAAATATTATAAGGAAATTTATTTGGTGTAATGAAGTAAAAAAAAAACAGGCATTCAGCCATATTGGGAGATGGTTGATGTGGTAAAAAATGAAATAATTGATGTACTGTATTTTAAACTTGTTGTTACTTGATTATTGAAACATTTATGGTAATGTAACATAGATATAAATACTTTTGTTGCTTATAATTAATGTAATTGATTGTGATTAAATTTACAGTAGACAGTAGTTATGTTCCTGAAAATGACATCTTATAAAAAAATTGTAAAATACGAACTTTAAGAACATGCAGTGGAACCCCAGATTTCGTATTAATCTGTTCCAGAAGGTCATTCTAAATCTGAAATGTATGAAAACCGAAGTAATATTTTCAATGAGAAATAATGTAAATCCAATTAATCCGTTCCAGACACCCAAAAATATTCACAAAAAATTCATTGTTTAAAGAATAACCATAGTTTTACATACAGAAAACAATAAGAAATAAATATGACTAATTTTTATGATAAATGAATATTACATACCTTTATTGAAGACTCTTGTTGGCATATGAAGAAGGTGAGGAGGGGAGAGAGAGCTGAGGTTATTGTTTGGAAGGAGAATCCCCCTCCATAAGAACTTCAGGTATCAAAGCCCTATCTAGGGTTACTTCCCTTCTTTGTCTTTAGTTGTCACTGGACCTCTGTCGCACTAAAAATCTGTCCAGAGCTCTGTTTCTGGGGTCTCTTTAAGATTTGCCTAAAATAGGACAAGGTATTGTTACCGAACATATTGCAAATATGGCTTTTATCAGCTTTGTCATGGTGATATTTTTCAGCAAAAGTTTGCACCTCATTCCACTTTGCACAAATGTCCTTAATCGCTGAAGAAGGCACCTTCTTCCCTCTCTCTTCCTCCCCTCTGAAGCAATTTCCTCAGCTGCAGTCTGTTGCTATTCCAGTTGAAAGTCTTGCAGCTCTTCAGTGGTTAGCTCTTCCCTGTGGTCCTCCACCAACTCTTCCGCATCCTCGCCACTCACATCCAACCCCATGGACTTTCCCAAAGACACAGTACATTCCACAACAGGCATAGGGTCGACAGGGTCGGCCTCAAACCCTTCAAAATCCTTGTCGAGGACACATTCTGGCCACAATTTTCTCCAAGCATAGTTCAAAGTCCTGGCAGTCACTTCCTGCCAATCCTTACCTATAAGGCTTATGCAATGGAGGATATTGAAATGATACTTCCAGAACTCTCTTAGGGTCAGTTCAGCATCCAAGGTCACTTCAAAGCACCTTTGAAACATTGCTTTGGTGTAGAGTTTTTTGAAGTTAGGAATGACCTGCTGGTCCATGGGCTGGATGAGAGGAATGGTATTAGGAGGCAAGAACTTCACTGTTATAAAACTGAAGTCTCTAAACAGTTGGTCTTCCAAGTCTGGAGGGTGAGCAGGAGCATTGTCCAGTACCAGGAGGCACTTGAGTGGCAATTTATTTTCCAAGAGGTGTTTTTTCACACTCGGTCCCAACACTTCATGGACCCAATCAATGAAAATTTGCCTCGTGATCCATGCCTTATTATTAGCCCTCCACATCATACATAATTTATAATTTACTCTTCATGATATTGTTTTTTCTTGAACACACTGGGATTTTCAGAGTGATACACCAGTAAAGGCTTCAATTTGAAACCCCCAGTAGTGTTACCACAGAACAAAAGAGTTAGCCTCTCTTTCATAGGCTTGTCTCCTGGCAGTGCTTTTTCCTCCTGTGTGATGTAGGTCCTCTTTGGCATTTTCTTCCAAAAAAGGCCTGTTTTGTCACTGTTGAACACTTGTTGGGGGAGGAATCCTTCAGCCTCTACATACTCCTTGAATTCATCAATGAATTCTTCAGCCACAGGTTTGTTTGAACTTGCAGCCTCACCCTGCCGTACAACACTGTGTATGCCACTACACTTCTTGAATCTGTCGAACCAACCTCTGCTGGCCTTAAATTCACTAACAGCAGCACTCGTTCCTGGCATTTTCTTTTCGAGATCCGCATGCATCTGCCTTGCCTTTTTGCAAATGACTGCCTCCACAACACTATCTTCCGCTAACTATTTTTCATTGATCTACCCCAACAACAACAACTCCACATCTTCATTTGTTTGTGATCTCTGTTAGCAAATTCACCCCTTTTGCAACTTTAGCTTCTTTGATTTCTACTTTCTTTGCCAGGATGGAACAGATTGTTGATTTCGACTTCCCATACATCCTGGCAAGCTTGGCTAGACGTATGCCACTTTTGTATTTGTCTTCAATCACTTCCTTGAATTCTTTCGTGTTTCTCTCTTTCTTTACCAAAGAGCTGGCACTAGGAACTTTCTTTGGGCCCATGGCTGCTTATTTCGTAGTTGCAGTCAATAAGCAAGCACAAAAATTGCGAAATGTTTTGGATGAATGCTCACTCAACCATTGACAGAGCCAGACTGAGGCTGCTTCCTGGCAGGCAGACACGTCTGATAAGTATGATTCCCGGGACAAGGTACGAAATCCAGAGCAAAATTTCGCCCAAAAAAGTGTTTTAAATCCGAAACGTCCGATATCCGGTGCATGCGAAATCCGGGGTTCCACCGTATAGAAAAAAATAGGGTTACGTTCATAATGAATCCTCCTCACCTCTCCCCAAACAAAATTTAATCAAATTTTTCTTAAAGCTTTGTAATGCATCAAAACTAAAAAATAATTAAATTTTCTATTTGCTATAGTCATTGCTTGTTGATATGGAAATGTGTGAGGGAGTGTTGATGTAATCCTGTACAGTACCTATGCAAACACCTGACAGGCAGTTCCACAGCTATTACTTGCCACAACTTTCACCTGTCTCTACCAAAACTACTGTCACCTGCAAACGTCAATAAAAATGCCATGTTTTACCAGCCAAGATGAGATTTCTTATTTACAAAACAGTTGTCCAGAGGGCTGAGGAAGGGTTGTTGGGGTGGTTCGGACATGTAGAGAGAATGGAGCGAAACAGAATGACTTCAGGAGTGCATCAGTCTGTAGTGGAAGGAAGGCGGGGTAGGGGTCGGCCTAGGAAAGGTTGGAGGGAGGGGGTAAAGGAGGTTTTGTGTGCGAGGGGCTTGGACTTCCAGCGGGCATGCGTGAGCGTGTTTGATAGGAGTGAATGGAGACAAATGGTTTTTAATACTTGACGTGCTGTTGGATTGTGAGCAAAGTAACATTTATGAAGGGGGTTCAGGGAAACCGGCAGGCCGGACTTGAGTCCTGGAGATGGGAAGTACAGTGCCTACACTCTGAAGGAGGGGTGTTAATGTTGCAGTTTAAAAACTTTAGTGTAAAGCACCCTTCTGGCAAGACAGTGATGGAGTGAATGATGAGAGTTTTTCATTTTCGGGCCACCCTGCCTTGGTTGGAATCGGCCAGTGTGTTAATAAAAAAAATAAAATAAAGTATACACAGGGTAATATCCACCATAATATGAAAGCAAACTATCCAAGAAAACATTAAAAGGTGATTAAATCAAGAGAAAAACTTCTCTAGGCTCAGCATGTGTTGTAATTATTGTTAGGTTATCAGCCACCCCTAATGCCAACCACCCCATCACAAGTCCTTGTTTGTTTATTGCAAAATATAAGTGTATCAACTAAACTGATGCACAAATTTATATGAAGTAGGTACTGTATACACATTACTTCCAGGTTTTTTTTCATTTTTTATCTTTATTATGCAAAGAAAGATAAGCATAAGGGCATGTAAACACTCGTAGGAGCCACTTATGGGCAGGGGATGATTCTGTCAACCGTGAATATGCAATTCATATATTTTCACAAGATTGAAGTTTAACGACTGAATTGATGTACATTATACACAGTATCCTCCATGGGGAAGTGGAGCAGAATTCTTCCTCCGTGAGCCATGTATGTCGTAAGAGGCGACTAAAATGCCAGGAGCAAGGGGCTGATAACCTCTTCTGTATACGTTACTAAATTTAAATGGAGAAACTTTAGTTTTTTCTTTTGGGCCACCCCGCCTCAGTGGGATATGGCTAGTTTGTTGAAAGAAGAATATGATATACATTATACACAAGGTACTCTATTCATATTATATTTAGTTTCCTTTCATTGTAACATTAATTATTCAAAGGGAAGGAAGCAAAGGATATACAAATCTTGGAGGCCCTCTCAATTTGTATAGAAACATTGTCTCCAGTATCCTCACATCTTAGCTCTGATGATGCAAAGGATATAAAAACTGCATGTATTGACTGGTATACAGGAAACAACTAATTTAATCACATTTGTTGTTTTTTCTGAGACTCCCATGGTGATAATTTATATATAAGCAGTGTATACTATGGTGGTCCTGTGAACTTCAGACACAAACATTTATCATGGTGATGCTGCAAGGTTATCCTTTCACTTTTTCATTTACTTACTGTACTTTCCACACTAATATCAATCACTAAGCATTCAAAATTTGTGTAAATAAAGCTAGAGTAAGTGAATGACTGTTAGTGGTATAGTAATGTGTAATTTATGTAAAATTAGCTATTACTAGCCTTCTTGTACAGATTTTAATTATTTTGCTCTATAGTTACACCTTCATTCAGGAGAGCCCTGCTTTACAATGCTATGCTAATACAGCAGTTTTCGGTTTTACCCATTCTTCATTTATTCAGACTTCTTACAATAAATGTATTCACCACTTGCTATAAGCTAAGGGCAAAAATATTCTAAGTAATGTGTGTACTGTATATGCATTCGTAAGGCCTTGCTATGTTCCTCACTTAATATATGATAGTGTATTTATTTGAAAGTGAAAAAAAAAGCTATGCTTCACTTTACAGCGGTAGCCTGGAACCTAACTTGCTGTATAAACAGGGTGTGCCTGTAAATAAAACTCATGTTGTTCTAATAAAAAAAGTACCGAATTCTTTAACTGCTTTATGGCAGAAACGTTTTAATCGATGGTCTGCTGTATTCAGATTAGCTTTCCTCGTTATGTTGGGCATTAGTTTTAAAAATGCTGTATTAGAATGTGGGGCAGAAGTTTGTGGTTATAGGAGGGTGGGTGCAGGAGGAAAGAGGAGTGATTGGTGGATTGATGTAGTAAAGAGTGTGATAAAAGAGAAAAAAGGTAGCTTATGAGAGGTTTTTACAAAGAAGAAGTGTTATAAGAAGAGCACAGTATATGGAAAGTAAAAGAAAGGTGAAGAGAGTGCAAAAGGAGAGCAGATGATAGAGTGGGAAGGGCACTGTCAAGAAATTTTGATGAAAATAAGAAAAAATTTTGGTGTGAGATGAACAAGTTAAGAAAGCCTAGGGAACGAATGGATTTGTCAGTTAAAAACAGAGTAGGGGAGTTAGTAGATGGGGAGCTGGAGGAATATTTTGAGGAACTTTTGAATGTCGATGAAGAAAGGGAGGCAGTAATTTCACATACTGGTCAGGGAGTTATAACATCTTTTAGGAGTGAACAAGAGCAGGATGTGAGTGCGGGGGAGGTGTGTGGGGCATTACGTAGAATGAAAGGGGGTAAAGCAGCTGGAACTGACGGGATCATGACAGAAATGTTAAAAGCAAGTGGGGATAGTGTTGGAGTGGTTGGTATTTTTGTTTAATAAATGTATGAAAGACTGCAAGGTACCCAGGGATTGGCAGAGAGCTTGTATAGTTCCTTTATATAGAGGGAAGGGGGATAAAAGAGATTATAAAAATTATAGGGGAATAACTTTACTGAGTATACCAGGAAAAGTGTGCAGTATGGTAATTATTGAAAGAATTAGAGGTAAGACAGAGAGTAGGATTTCGGATGAGCATGGGGCTTTGGAGTGGGTAGGGGATGTGTAGATCAAGTGTTTACATTGAAGCATATATGTGATCAGTATTTAGATAAAGGTAGAGAAGTTTTCGTTGCATTTATGGATTTAGAAAAGGCATATGATAGAGTGGATAGAGGAGCAATGTGGCAGATGTTGCAGGTATATGGAATAGGTAGTAAGTTACTAAATGCTGTAGAGAGTTTTTATGAGGATAGTGAGGCTCAGGTTAGGGTGTGTAGGAGAGAGAGAGATTACTTCCCGGTAAAAGTAGGTCTTAGACAGGGATGTGTAATCTCACCATGGTGGTTCAATATATTTATAGCTGGGGTTGTAAAAGAAGTAAATGCTAGGGTGTTGGGGAGAGGTGTGGGATTATGTTATTGGGAATCAAATACAAAATGGGAGTTGACACAGTTACTTTTTGCTTATGACACTGTACTTATGGGAGATTCTAAAGAAAAGTTGCAAAGATTAATGGACTAGTTTGGGAGGGTGTGTAAAGGTAGAAAGTTGAAAGTGAACATAGACAAGAGTAAGGTGATGAGGGTATCAACTGATTTAGATAAAGAAAAATTGGATATCACATTGGAGGGAGGGAGTATGACTTGTCAGCGAATGGGTTTATGAAGGATAAGGTTACCCATAGAATTGATGAAGGAAAAAAGGTGAGTGATGCATTGAGGTATATGTGGAAAAAGAAAAACATTATCTATGGAGGCAAAGAAGGTAATGTACGAAAGTATAGTGGTACCAACTCTCTTATATGGGTGTGAAGCTTGGGTTGTAAATTCTTCAGCAAGGAGGAGGTTGGAGGCAGTGGAGATATCCTGTCTAAGGGCAATTTTTTTTTTTTTTTCAACAAGTCGGCCGTCTCCCACCGAGGCAGGGTGACCCAAAAAAGAAAGAAAGGGCAATGTGTGGTGTAAATATTATGCAGAAAATTCAGAGTGTGGAAATTAGGAGAAGGTGTGGAGTTAATAAAAGTATTAGTCATAGGGCTGAAGAGGGGTTGTTGAGGTGGTTTGGTCATTTAGAGAGAATGGATCAAAGTAGAATGACATGGAGAGCGTATAAATCTATAGGGGAAGGAAGGAGGGGTAGGGGTCGTCCTTGAAAAGGTTGGAGGGAGGGGGTAAAGGAGGTTTTGTGGGTGAGGGGCTTGGATGTCCAGCAAGCATGCATGAGCGTGTTAGATAGGAGTGAATGGAGACGAATGATTTTTGGGACCTGACAAGCTGTTGGAGTGTGAGCAGGGTAATATTTAATGAAGGGATTCAGGGAAACTGGTTTTTTTTTAGATAGCCCTACTTAAGTACTGGAAATGGGAAGTACAATGCCTGCACTTTAAATGAGGGATTTGGGATATTGGCAGTTTGGAAGGATATGTTATATTTCTTTATATGTGCTTCTAAACTGTTGTATCTGGGTGCCTCTGCAAAAACAGTGATTATGTATGAGTGAGGTGAAAGTGTTGAATGATGATGAATGTATTTTTTTGGGTATTTTCTTTCTTTTTGGGTCACCCTATCTTGGTGGGATATGGCCAACTTGTTGAAGAAAAAAATAATTCATCCTTTTTCAATTAAACAGGTTGAGAAAGACGTAAGCCGGCAACGTGTTCAACCAGGCAAGCTCTCCACCTTACGCAATGCCACCATCCAGGCTATGTCAAACCTTCTCTCTGCAAACATTGATTCAGGCCTGATGCACTCCATAGGACTGGGATACCACAAAGACTTGCAAACTAGAGCAGCATTTATTGAGGTGAGCTTTACTTTTCATGTAAAGTGTATAACTTGTTATAGCCTTTGTTATAGCCTGAACCTCTTGTAACTATTTCCCCAATTTTTATTAAAAATGGCAAGCTTTATGGGGGGAAATGGCATTGGAAGGCAGGATGGTGATGCTGCAGGGAAATGGTGTTGGGTGGGGATTTAACCTGTAAACTTAGGTTAAAGATGAACAAAATTCTTGGGACATTTTATTGAGGATACATTTTGGTTCTGGGGTCCTTGTTGACTGCAAACATGATCCCAGGACAGTTATATCTCTGATGAAATAGGATGTATTCAGTGTTTGATCATGTGTCTTTAACCACAATTTGTCAGTATTATATACTGTACCACATTTTTGCCACTAAGCTTAAATTTTTTTGAATCCCTGGTAGTATTTGTTACTAATGATGTCACTTTGTTACCACTGAAAATCATAACAACTCTGTAAAGATGAACACTAATAATGCTTCAAGAGGTTCTAAATGCTTAGGAATGAACACTGTACAGACTTGAACAGAATGGATTGATTATTATTAATATTCATTCTAGTTGTCCTCTTTGTAATATATATAGAATGCACTTGTGATATACACTATGGCAATAGAAAGCTGATGGTAAGTTACGGAAATATGATGCCAAAGATGCAGTAGTGTTATTAGTTTAAATATTCTGTATGCGATGCCTTTCATACAAAATTTTTGTGTGTGAAGTTATAATAAAATTTCACTTTAGAATGAAACATTTCCAAAAAGATTTTGAATAAGAGAGAAGGTGTATTGTGAAGTGTGTCAGAGCAAACTTTAAAGCTTAGCAAGCAGAGTTGAGTGTATGTGGATAAACTACATTTAAGGGAATTTTGGCTGCATGTATTATTTTTATCCAATTTCTACATCTTATTTCTATGAGCCATGTTTGGAGTATCCAGTATCTCTGTATGCATACCTCAGTTTCACCAGTAATTGAGTTTTTCTGCTACTTTTAACCCAGCTTGCCACATCCACTTTGTTTTTTCTATACACCAGCCATAGCTAGCTTCCAGTTGGCCCAGAGCTCCAATAAACACCTCATTTCTTCGGCAATATTTTTTTGTTTTGTTTCCTGGTTATCTTAACTCTAGACTGTATAGAGTAGTTATAGTCAGCATATTGGCTTATTAGTTATTACTATGTATCATTGCATATACCTACTCTTTTGTATCTATTTGTTCCCACATACTGGTATGCATGTGAATGCAATAGCTAATTTGTTCTTCAATTACTTTTTGCGTGACACATTGATTCAGGAGAGAAAAAGCTCCAAAACTACACTTGATGTTTTTTATTTTTTTTTTTTAACACACTGGCCATCTCCCACCAGGGTAGGGTGACATGACATGACAAAAAAAAAAAAAAGTCTCTCATTCAGTCACTGTCTTGCCAGATGTGCTGACATCATAGTTCAGATGACCCTCTAAACTGTGATATCTCCAACCTTCCTTCAGAGTGCAAGCACTGTACTTTCTGTCTCCAGGACTCAAGTCTGGCTAACCTGTTTCCCTGAATCCCTTTGTAAATGTTACTTTGCTTGCACTCCAACAGCACATCACCATAAAAACCACTTACCTCCACTACTACTACTACTATCTAACACACTCACACAAACCTGTTGGATGTCAAAACTCCCTGGCACTCAAATCCTTATTTACACCCTCCAGCCTTTCTTAGGCTGACCCCTACCTTTTCTTCCCTCCATCCCAGATTTATATTCCTTCCTGGTCATCCTATTGTTCTCCATCCTCACTAAATGTCCTAACCACCTTGACAACCCCTTCTGAGCTCTCTTGTACTTTTTTTTTTTAAACTCTTCACCACCTGATCTCCAAACTCTGAATTCTCTTTATAATATTCGTGCCACACATTCCACTCAAACACAACATCTTTACTGCATCCAGCCTCCTTACTGTATTAATCTAAGTCTATGCTTCACGCTCACTGAGAGGTGTAAACTTTTCAGGGTATATACAATGAGAATTTGCTTTAGTTCCTGTTTGAGAGATTAAAATGTGAACACAGTGTAGAGGTAAATTTCAGCTTCATTGAGTTGTATGCAGGTGACAGGCCTTAAACCTAACAAATTAAGAGTTTGTTCTTCTCTTGGGGGACACTTGTATACAGTTTGGGACATTAGAGAAAACATTTTGCATAAGCGACTTTTTTAAAGCCACTTGTAGTGAAGTGTTTCCTGTAATAAATGTCCTGAACTGTACACAAGTGTCCTTTTCCACAGTTTCCTTTGCACTGCCAATATGCTTGACTACATTATGAGTTGTTTTCTTTCTTATTAGGGCAGTGATAGAAAATTACACCCATTTGAGCTTTTTTTTTTTTTTTCCGGCAAGTCGGCCGTCTCCCACCGAGGCAGGGTGACCCAAAAAAGAAAGAAAATCCCCAAAAAGAAAATGCTTTCATCATCATTCAACACTTAAACCACACTCGCACATTATCACTGCTTTTGCAGAGGTGCTCAGAATACACAGTTTAGAAGCATACACATAAAGATACACAACATATCCCTCCAAACTGCCAATATCCCAAACCCCTCCTTTAAAGTGCAGGCATTGTACTTCCCATTTCCAGGACTCAAGTCCGACTATATGAAAAGAACCGGTTTCCCTGAATCCCTTCACTAAATATTACCCTGCTCACACTCCAACAGATCGTCAGGTCCCAAAAGGTGAGTGGTGCATTGAGGTATATGTGGAGTCAAAAAACGTTATCTATGGAGACAAAGAAGGGAATGTATGAAAGTATAGTAGTACCAACACTCTTATATGGGTGTGAAGCTTGGGTGGTAAATGCAGCAGCGAGGAGACAGTTGGAGGCAGTGGAGATGTCCTGTCTAAGGGCAATGTGTGGTGTAAATATTATGTAGAAAATTCGGAGTGTGGAAATTAGGAAAAGGTGTGGAGTTAATAAAAGTATTAGTCAGAGGGCAGAAGAGGGGTTGTTGAGGTGGTTTGGTCATTTAGAGAGAATGGATCAAAGTAGAATGACATGGAAAGCATATAAATCTATAGGGGAAGGAAGGCCAGGTAGGGGTCGTCCTCGAAAGGGTTGGAGAGAGGGGGTAAAGGAGGTTTTGTGGGCAAGGGGCTTGGACTTCCAGCAAGCGTGCGTGAGCGTGTTAGATAGGAGTGAATGGAGACGAATGGTACTTGGGACCTGACGATCTGTTGGAGTGTGAGCAGGGTAATATTTAGTGAAGGGATTCAGGGAAACCGGTTATTTTCATATAGTCGGACTTGAGTCCTGGAAATGGAAAGTACAATGCCTGCACTTTAAAGGAGGGGTTTGGGATATTGGCAGTTTGGAGGGATATGTTGTGTATCTTTATACGTATATGCTTCTAAACTGTTGTATTCTGAGCACCTCTGCAAAAACAGTGATTATGTGTGAGTGTGGTGAAAGTGTTGAATGATGATGAAAGCATTTTCTTTTTGGGGATTTTCTTTCTTTTTTGGGTCACCCTGCCTCTGTGGGAGACGGCCGACTTGTTGAAAAAAAAAAAAAATTCCAACAAACCAGCAGTGTCCCACCGAGGCAGGGTGGCCCAAAAAAGAAAAACGAAAGTTTCTCTTTTCAAATTTAGTAATTTATATGGGAGAAGGGGTTACTAGCCCCTTGCTCCTGGCATTTTAGTCGCCTTTTACAACACGCATGGCTTACGGAGGAAGAATTCTGTTCCACTTCCCCATGGAGAATTTTTGTATTTTAGCTCCTTTAATTGCCTTTCTCTTTTGTACATATATTTACTGTATTTCTGTGATAATTTCACAGCAGTTTTAGGTGTTACTGTCTGCAATAGTTTTTTCTTTAGCGTCTTGTAGATGGATGTACAGGTGTACTGTACATGCCACTGAAGATAAGGTGAAGGCTTTGGAGAGTTTATGAACATTTTCATCTGGTTTAACCCTTTGAGGGTCGACAGGCCCTCTCCGAGACTCGTTCTCAGGGTCGGCCAAATTTAAAAAAAAAAAAAAATTCTTATGAAAAGATAGAGAATCTTTTCCCGATCATAATGACACCAAAAGTAGGAAATTTGATGGAAAACTTACGGAATTATGCTCTCGCGAAGTTAGCGGTCTCGGCGATGTTGATGCAGCGGCGGTTTTACCCACTTTGAGCCCCATTTTCAGCCAATTCCACTGTACTAGTCGACAAAAAACATGAATATTTCGCTAGAACTCCATTTTTTCTATCGAATGAGTACAAGAAACCACCCATTTACCAATTTCAACTATCTAGTACAGTGGTCAGAATTTAGCAATTTTGCCAATTTCACACAAATTTCAAAAGATGCCAATTTCCGAATAGGGTCCAGAATAAAGAAGAAAGACATTCCTGGCACTAAAACGACATTTCCTCTGTTCATTAGTCACGTCTCAAGGCCCCTCTTACATTCTTTTGCTTTCCACTTTGAACTTTTATTCTCACAGAAAATAGAAGATTTACTGTTATGCAGACTACTGCATTAGTGTAAAAAATGGTATGAATAATATTGGCGCACTTGCGAAAGAATATTAGACTCACCAGTTGACGTGTATTGGACGCTTGGCATGATTTGTTTACTTTTGAACTTTGCTAAAAATCGAACATTTCTGTTACTTTGAGCTCAATTTCAAGGTACTTTTCATTGTAAAACCAGTCAAAATCATCACAATTTCTATAATATGTCTTCTATTCTATAAAATGAGACCAGGAAAACTAGAATACAACAATAAATGCCATTTGAAAATACAGGGCAAATTTGCTGTTTTATTCCGAAAATCGGTCAATTTTTTTTTTCTCATTATGCACTGTGTGCTGCAGGTTTTTTTTTATACTGTGCACACTGACCACATAGACCCATTCTTTCATATGTAGGCCTACCAGCTTTCTCCCACTAGATTTGAGGGCGCTAGAATTTAGGCGTACTAGTACGTCAAAAACCCTGGGTCGTAAGCCGTACTAGTACGGCCAAAACCTCAAAGGGTTAAATATTCATAGACTACTACATTTAAATGTCCATAATATTGATCTTCCTTTTAGTTCTGGGGCCACTAGTGCATTCCTAACAATTCATTATTGGTTTTGTATTTAGCTGGGGTTAAATTCCAGTTAGCATTTAATTGAAATAGAGCTTTTAAGGCATTATCACAGGAGACCCTTACTATTTGATATAAAACTAAAACAGTCTCTAGAGATCATAACCTAAATAAAACCAATCAAAATGCCTTTAGACATGCCTGGAGGTTAACTGAATGAGAGCTCCACCTCTCTTTAGAACCATATATTGAATTGATCAGCAGGGTACTATACTTAAGTATCAGACAAGGTGCAGAATAGTGCCATCCTTGAGTTTACTGGGGTATCTAGCATAAGGAGACCTGGTAATATGGTATGGTTGTAAGTGAATGACTGTAACTAGATCATATTTCATTATTTGTATCCAAGGATTTGGATAAGTGGGATTTCAGCAAGAATATTTGATAGGGACGACTGGAGGCAAGTTTTTATTTTTTATTACTTGATATGATATTGGTGCGTGAGCAAGGTAATGCTTATGAAAGGATTCAGGGAAACCAGTTAGCCAGACTTAAGCAGTGCCTGTACTCTGTAGGAGGGTTGGGAATATTGCAGTTTGGAGGGATATCTGAACTGTAATATTGGCATATCTCTGGCAAGAGGTGTGCTGACATTTCAGCACAGACTTTTTTTTATCATTTTTTTATTCATAAAATTGTATGATATAAATTATTTGTAAATAAAAAAAGTGCTTCTGTGTATGCTTGAAATTCACTCATTTTCTTCTAGGTGCTAACAAAGATATTACAACAAGGAACAGAATTTGACACGTTAGCAGAGACTGTTCTTGCTGATCGTTATGAACAACTGGTGCAGCTAGTTACCATGATTGGCGATAAGGGAGAGCTGCCAATTGCAATGGCACTTGCTTCGGTTGTTGTCACTCCACAAATGGTAAGGGACAAAATGTGAGAGTTAAGAGCAATAAGAAAAAGTGGACATTAGATCATTGTACAGCACTTCCATGGAATTTGTTGACACTGTAAACATAGGATTATTATAAACATGAGCACGTAGAAGACATGTACCTGAGACTTAACGATTAAAAGTGTATGGAAAGTAGTCAATAGACCTAGAACAATAAAGAAGCTAATAGTCAGTCTATAGGATTGAGAGAAGGACTAGAACCTGAAACAGTATGTTTGAAGGAAGTAGATTCTTTGGGAATGTGTTTTTGCATGGTGTGAGGGTGGTATAGACATAGATGAACAACACATGGTATGTAGTGTGAGGGGTGGTATATACATGGATATACACAGTATGTGTGGTGTGGGCTAGTATACAGATGGATGTACATATGGTGTGGTGTGAGGACTACAAACATGGATGTACTACACATGGTGTAGTGTGGTGGAAATATTTTAAAATTATGAGCAAAGTAATTTCCATAATGGAAAAACTACCTGCCTGAGTTTAGTATGAAATTTGTAGAGCAGCAACTTCATGTTTGTTGAGAGCAGTTGTTGCATGAAATGATTGTCTTGTTCATTTTATATACAGTATAACATTATCCTAGCAAGTACTGATAGATATAGATGCATATAATTTCATGAACAGTTGTTTTAAAGTGGATGTAATATATGATTTGTAATGATGATAATAATAATCATATAATGATGATAATAGTAATAATGATGAAAGTTTATTTTCCAAGGAGATACATTAGTTGCAAATATTTTTTACATGGAAAAATCCATATTTATGCAAGACATTTCAAACAGACTTAAAAGAAGATTAATACCAACATACCTAGACATTATACAATATAACACATATCCATAACATATATAAAGTGTGTGGTAGGGTTATTATTGAAAAAAGTAGAGGTAAGACAGAGAGCAGGATTGCAGATGATCAAGGAGGCTTTAGAATGGGTAAGGGATGTGTAGATCAAGTGTTTACATTGAAGCATATATGTGAACAGTATTTAGATAATGGTAGGGAAATTTTCATTGCATTTATGAATTTAGAAAAGGCATATGATAGTGGATAGGCTCAGGTTAGGGTCTGTTGAAGAGAGTGAAATTACTTTCCGGTAAAAATAGGTCTTAGACAGGGATGTGTAATGCCGCTATGGTTGTTTAATATATTTATAGAGTTGTAAAAGAAGTAAATGCTAGTGTTGGGAAGAGGGATGGGATTAAATTATAGGGAATCAAATACAAAATGGGAATTGACACAGTTACTTTTTGCTGATGATACTGTGCTTATGGGAGATTCTAAAGAAAAGTTGCAAAGGTTTGTGGACGAGTTTAGGAGAGTGTGTAAAGGTAGAAACTTGAACGTGAACATAGAAAAGAGTAAGGAGATGAGGGTATCAAATGATTTAGATAAAGAAAAATTGGATTTCAAATTGGGTAGGAGGAGTATGGAAGAAGTGAATGTTTTCAGATACTTGGGAGTTGAGGTGTCAACAGCTGGATTTATGAAGAATGAGGTTAATCATAGAATTGATGAAGAAAAAAAAATGAATGGTGCATTGAGGTATATTTGTAGGCAAAAAATGTTACCTATGGAGGCAAAGAAAGGAATGTATGAAAGTATAGTAGTACCAGCACTCTTATATGGGTGTGAAGCTTGGGTTGTAAATGTTGCAGCGAGGAGGCGGATGGAGGCAGTGGAGATGTCCTGTCTAAGGGCAATGTGTGGTGCAAATATTATGCAGAGAATTCAGAGTGTGGAAATTTGGAGAAAGTGTGGAGTTAATAAAAGAATTAGTCAGAGGTCTGAAGAGGGTTTGTTGAGGTGGTTTGGTCATTTAGAGAGAGAATGGATCAAAGTATAATGACATGGAGAGCATATAAATCTGTAGGGGAAGGAAGGTGGGGTAGGGGTCATCCTCGAAAAGGTTGGAGGGAGGGGGTAAAAGAGGTGTTGTGGGTGAGGGGTTTGGACTTCCAGCAAGCGTGCGTGAGTGTGTTAGATAGGAGTGAATGGAGACAAATGGTATTTAGGACCTGACGAGCTGTTGGAGTGTGAGTAGGGTAATATTTAATGAAGGGATTTAGGGAAACTGGTTAGTTTATGTAACTGGACTTAAGTCCTGGAAATGGGAAGTACAATGCCTGCACTCTAAAGGAGGGATTTGGGATGTTGGCAGTTTGGAGGGATATATTGTGTATTTTTATACGTATATACTTCTAAACTGTTGTATTCTGGGCACCTCTGTGAAAACTAGTGATTATGTGTGAGTGAGGTGTTGAATGATGATGCAAGTATTTTCTTTTTGGGTATTTTCTTTCTTTTTGGGTCACCCTGCCTCGGTGGGAGATGGCCGACTTGTTGAAATAAATAAATAAATAAATATATATATTTTTTTTTTTTTTTTTTTTTTTTTCAACAAGTCGGCCGTCTCCCACCGAGGCAGGGTGACCCAAAAAAGAAAGAAAATCCCCAAAAAGAAAATACTTTCATCATCATTCAACACTTTCACCACACTCGCACATTATCACTGTTTTTGCAGAGGTGCTCAGAATACAACAGTCTAGAAGCATACACATATAAAGATACACAACATATCCCTCCAAACTGCCAATATCCCAAACCCCTCCTTTAAAGTGCAGGCATTGTACTTCCCATTCCAGGACTCAAGTCCGACTATATGAAAATAACCGGTTTCCCTGAATCCCTTCACTAAATATTACCCTGCTCACACTCCAACAGATCGTCAGGTCCCAAGTACCATTCGTCTCCATTCACTCCTATCTAACACGCTCACGCACGCTTGCTGGAAGTCCAAGCCCCTTACCCACAAAACCTCCTTTACCCCCTCTCTCCAACCCTTTCGAGGACGACCCCTACCCCGCCTTCCTTCCCCTATAGATTTATATGCTTTCCATGTCATTCTACTTTGATCCATTCTCTCTAAATGACCAAACCACCTCAACAACCCCTCTTCTGCCCTCTGACTAATACTTTTATTAACTCCACACCTTCTCCTAATTTCCACACTCCGAATTTTCTGCATAATATTTACACCACACATTGCCCTTAAACAGGACATCTCCACTGCCTCCAACCGTCTCCTCGCTGCTGCATTTACCACCCAAGCTTCACACCCATATAAGAGTGTTGGTACTACTATACTTTCATACATTCCCTTCTTTGCCTCCATAGATAACGTTTTTTGACTCCACATATACCTCAACGCACCACTCACCTTTTTTCCCTCATCAATTCTATGATTAACCTCATCCTTCATAAATCCATCCGCCGACACGTCAACTCCCAAGTATCTGAAAACATTCACTTCTTCCATACTCCTCCTCCCCAATTTGATATCCAATTTTTCTTTATCTAAATCATTTGACACCCTCATCACCTTACTCTTTTCTATGTTCACTTTCAACTTTCTACCTTTACACACATTCCCAAACTCATCCACTAACCTTTGCAATTTTTCTTTAGAATCTCCCATAAGCACAGTATCATCAGCAAAAAGTAACTGTGTCAATTCCCATTTTGAATTTGATTCCCCATAATTTAATCCCACCCCTCTCCCAAACACCCTAGCATTTACTTCCTTAACAACCCTATCTATAAATATATTAAACAACCATGGTGACATTACACATCCCTGTCTAAGACCTACTTTTACCGGGAAATAGTCTCCCTCTCTTCTACACACCCTAACCTGAGCCTCACTATCTTCATAAAAACTCTTTACAGCATTTAATAACTTACCACCTATTCCATATACTTGCAACATCTGCCACATTGCTCCTCTATCCACTCTATCATATGCCTTTTCTAAATCCATAAATGCAATAAAAACTTCCCTACCTTTATCTAAATACTGTTCACATATATGCTTCAATGTAAACACTTGATCTACACATCCCCTACCCACTCTGAAACCTCCTTGCTCATCCGCAATCCTACATTCTGTCTTACCTCTAATTCTTTCAATTATAACCCTACCGTACACTTTTCCTGGTATACTCAGTAAGCTTATTCCTCTATAATTTTTACAGTCTCTTTTGTCCCCTTTCCCTTTATATAAAGGGACTATACATGCTCTCCGCCAATCCCTAGGTACCTTCCCCTCTTTCATACATTTATTAAACAAAAGTACCAACCACTTCAACACTATATCCCCCCCTGCTTTTAACATTTCTGTCATGATCCCATCAGTACCAGCTGCTTTACCCCCTTTCATTTTACGTAATGCCTCACGTACCTCCCCCACACTTACATTCTGCTCTTCTTCACTCCTAAAAGATGGTATACCTCCCTGACCAGTGCATGAAATTACTGCCTCTGTTTCTTCCTTAACATTTAAAAGTTCCTCAAAATATTCTCGCCATCTACCTAATACCTCCATCTCCCCATCTACTAACTCCCCTACTCTGTTTTTAACTGACAAATCCATATTTTCCCTTGGCTTTCTTAACTTGTTTAACTCACTCCAAAATTTTTTCTTATTTTCATTAAAATTTCTTGACAGTGCCTCTCCCACTCTATCATCTGCTCTCCTTTTGCACTCTCTCACCACTCTCTTTACCTTTCTTTTACTCTCCATATATTCTGCTCTTCTTATAACACTTCTGCTTTGTAAAAACCTCTCATAAGCTACCTTTTTCTCTTTTATCAACACCCTTTACTTCATCATTCCACCAATCACTCCTCTTTCCTCCTGCACCCACCCTCCTATAACCACAAACTTCTGCCCCACATTCTAATACTGCATTTTTAAAACTATTCCAACCCTCTTCAACCCCCCCATTACTCATCTTTGCACTATCCCACCTTTCTGCCAATAGTCGCTTATATCTCGCCCGAACTTCCTCCTCCCTTAGTTTATACACTTTCACCTCCCTCTTACTTGTTGTTGCCACCTTCCTCTTTTCCCATCTACCTCTTACTCTAACTGTAGCTACAACTAAATAATGATC